TTCGCCATTCGCGTAAGCCATCACACCGACCGATCCAGCGGAATGTCGAGTCATACGTCGAGGACGGTCTTCCATCAAGTGTGGAGCATTCATCCCGTCATCTTCATCGTCATGGGTTCGCCTCCTGCCGGACGACTTCTTGGATTTGCGACTGTTCCTCCGCGAAGGCTCAGGGGGACTGGAGATGAAATTGTCGTCTTCGGGATGATAACGTTCAGGCCGCTTCGCATGTCGACCGGATCGAGTGATATGTTCTTTACTGTCATCTTCGTAATGTCCTTCATCATCCTGAGGGACGTGAATTGGCTCAGGATCAAACTCGCCATCGGCGTCAACGTCACTATCCTCGGCGTAGGTGGTGTGAGTTTGAGCGGCTCGACGTTGTGGACGATTGAAGCTCATGACGTTGAGCGTATAGGAGAGGAGAAGATGATCCGAGGTGTATCAGGTCACGTTGTGGTTCGAGGAGACCTATGAGACTCTACGCCGAGCAGACGAGTTGGTCCAGACGGCAAAGAGCGGTAGGAGGATAAGTGAATCTTATCCAGCGAGATGGAGCTACAGGGAATGAGAGTTGACAAGATGACAGAGGGGTGTACGACAGCCAACGGAATGACTGGAGAGAGACGGAAGAATATTCCCAGCAACCGATGGAATGGACCGATCAATGGCGTTGAATGCGAGTGTACTGGAGATAGTCGATATCGGGGGGATGAGTGCAATGGAAGGGTTCTCGAGAGCCGTAACGGTTGATTCGCCAAGCTTAGGGAGAAAAGCTGCCAGGCGCCAGAAGGGCTTATAATGGAGACCTAAGATCCAGACGGGTGGAAAAGAGTACACAGCTATATACTTGAGAACCTTAAAGCTGGGATGGATGCGTGGGGGAGATGAGTCAAGAGAGGAGTCAACTTAGATGTGTGTTGGACAAGATGTAGTTGAAACCGCGGCCAGCCCGTCGTTCAGGGAAGCAGCTCGCTAGCCCCGAACTTACTAATGCCCATTACTATTCGTTTACTAATGCAATACTAATTCTTCCAAAGTGGCGAACGCCGCCGCCTGCTGTCACATTGTTCTCGTTCTCCCCTTCTTCCTCTGTTCTCTCTTTCACAAACTATTACTTCATTCTGTTTCGTCTCCTATATCTTCGTCCCCATCACTTCCCTCAGCAAAAGGTGCATCTATTCCCCACAGATTGAATCGCCTGTTAGTGAGACCAGAAATTCATGCGAATCGCCCTGGGTTCTTCGACTTTTACGACTCGTCAAGAACCATCAGCCTCTAATATGCCCTCTCGCCGCTCGGAATCTCCGGGTCGTGGCGATCCCTACATTTACCTTGGAAGAGAACGATCACCTCCCAGATCCTATGCCTCTGTTCTAGCCGCTACTGCGCGTAATCCACGCTCGCCACGCCCAGAAGCTCAACCATCAATATGGGATACGAACGATGTGGATCCTCAAGAACCTCTCGATGAATTGAACTTTTACCACGTCTTCCCACCGATGGAACACACACCGCCCTGGAGAAGACGACGTGAGGCTGATATATTTGATGGAATGCGTGATGGTCCTTCAAACTCTGGTGTAGTACCTGCCCAAGAGGCTACATCTTCTGACACCGGCGCGGACGAAAATGTTCGACGGGAATTTTCTCCTGTGCTCCCTGTCCAGACAGCTCGAGCGATTGACGGAGACAACTCGACGCCTCAACGACTCACGCCTATGCTCACACTTGACGAGCTACTTGTCGAAGCTCGTCGACAGGATGCACCAGAGAATCCCCCTCGATTATCAAATGCACAGAATCCACTCCGTCGAAGATACATGACTTCAATAGCTCCACCTCTGGGCACTGTTGCCCCCAGCGCTATACGTTTCTCGAATTCAGCTCCACAACTCGCTGCGGCCGACCGCGAAACACCTCCTCTATCCCCTACCGACCCTCTTTTGGATATACTCGATCAACCCAATGTCGGACCCCCACGGTGGAGAGAAATCATTTCTCGACGTTCCGCCGCTCCACCACCGAATGATCGTCCGACCGGCCTGGCTCCTCGACCTCGAACAAGACAACCGATTCCCAGACGTTCTAGGCCCCAGAGCCACGTACAACCAGCGTATGACCCAGATGAAGTCATACCGTACGACGAAATGTATCCCTCGAGCGATACAGAGTTCCTAGAAGATGATGCTTGGGTAACAAGGACGGACAATAGGGGTTATATTTATGCCACTCGTGATGTGCCTGCAGAGATGAACGGGGACGCCTGGGGGAGGACGGGTGGATCATCCAATACCACTCTGACTCGCGGTGGAAACAACAGAAGACGTCCGAGTAGTATGGCACGGGATGAAGCTCAAGCTGAGTTAGCACGGATTCGCGAAGCTGCCATCAGAGCAGAAGAAGCGACGTCATTGAGAAGAGTCCAGTCAATGAGTGGATTACCGCCTACCAACCTTTCTCGAGAACAGCCTTCACCTGTCTTGGTCGTTGGGAGTCGAAGGCGTAGGAGAGAGGACGAGGGAGAAGAGGAAGCATCTACTCAAATAGAGAAGAAGTCCGATGAACGACCTCTCAAACGACCTCGATTCACGACGGGAAAACCTATGATTATTGAGTCTTCTCGTCCTTCGTACCTATCGTACACCACTACGGATCCGTCGATCGCCTTGCCCACCGAATTTGACATGCCCGATCGTCACTCCCATTTGTCTTTGGTCCCGAAGATCTTGCCCAATGGAGGCGTTCGACATGTCATCACTTTCACGCTCCACCCTTTACCTGCAGGAGATGACTCTGACGCGTCGTCTTTACGGACGACACGACATATTCCGGTGGAATGTGGTATCTACTACTACGAGATAGAGGTTTTGGATCAGGGCGAACAAGGGTTCATGAGCTTGGGAGTTTCGACCTCCGCGGTTCATCTCGGACGGCTGGTCGGATGGGATGATGGTAGTTATGGGTGGCATGCGGATGATGGGATGAGTTTCGAAGGATCGGGTAAGGGAAAGACGTTTTCGGAGAAATGGGGCAGTGAGTGTTGTTCTCTTCACCACCTTACCCCTTCGCCCATCCCTCTTCACAATGATCGCGTTGTTGTACATATGACTGATCTTCAGCTGGCGACACGGTCGGTTGCGGCGTAGACTTCACCACAGGCAAAGCATTCTTCACGAAAAATGGGAAACTGATGGGTGCGTATATCTTCTCCTCTCCTCTCCTTTGCACCCGGAGTTTTACCACCACATGGCATTGTGGCATTGTGCCTCCAGGCTGAAAAAAAAACCCCGTGCCAAATGTTTCAAGAGAACATGACTAATGACCAGGCTGGTGTTTCTCTCGTCTCGGCAAAGGTCTATACCCCGCTATCGGTCTTCGAACACCTAAAGAATCAGTCATGGTGAACCTGTGCGGTCCATTCATGTTCGACATCGATTCTCTGGTACGTGATAGACGAGACGACATTTTCAATTCCGTTACCAAGTTTGCTCCAATGCCAGAACTTGTCCCCCGTCTCGTCATTCAGAAGACTCGTCCAATTCAACTCCCTTCGAACAATATCCCAGCGGAACGTATCCGAGTTAAAGAAAACATCGAAAACACTCCTCCGATAGTTTCAGCCGGAACGAGTACGACGTTGACCGATTTAGTAAGCAGACCTGAAACTGGATCAAGCGCTGTTAAAATTGATAACGTCAACCGTCCCGGTCCCAGTACGACCACGATAATTCAACCTAAAACTGAACCGGAACCAGTATCTATCTTGGACACGTTACCGAAAACGTCACCATTGAGAGAAGCGGGGGAAAGGACTATGGCCGCTTGGGTATTGAATTATCTGAAACATGAGGGTCATTCTTCTTCTTTGGACATGGTCAAAACTACGATGATTAAAAGATCTTGGTTACCTCCTGCCTCCAAACCTGATTCTGAAGCTACATCCTCGAACTCACTCGCTGGTCCCCCCTCCGCAGTACCGACGAATATAACGTCGGATGAAACCATTTCACCAGCACCACAAATCGGAAATACATCGTCAGGATTAGCCGACGTTGACGTCCCGTCTTCTTTGGAGAGAGTACGAGACACTACATCGAGTTCGACAAACCCTACCAATTCATCATCTTCCTTTACCGACTCTAAAGTTATCACTAGAGAAGTAGTAGATAAGTCAGTACCTTCTCTCATTCAAATAATTCAACGTTGTCTTCGTCGTCCTACATACATGGTGAGCGAAACGATCCCATTAGAAGAATGGGCTGCGACTTTCGCCTCAAGTTCCACTCGATCATTCTTTCACAAGATCTTAGTGGCGGATTTCGTCTTACGAGTCAAACGATATTATTTATATTCACCAGTCTCCCTTTCTACTTCTGACACTGACCAATCTTCTCACGTCGATGAAGGTCATGACGATGGCCTTGAGAATACGAAAAGTGTTATGGAAGTAGAAGTTTTTCTCAATAAGAACGATCGTCAATCCGGAGTGAACGAAGATATAAACGAAAGTAATGTTGATGCTTCCACGTCAATTATAGAGGACCAAGTTGTACAAGGAAAAGAAGTAACAGAGACTCAAGGGGATCAATTGAAAAAGGCAGAAAATACAAAACAATTGACTAAAGATGAATCGGAAGATATCGCATTGGAGTTCGGAAGAGATTTATTAGCGTACAGTAGGAAAGAACGTTGGACCAAGTCAGAGATGAGTTTACTGAAAAAAGCTTATGGGTTGATTAGTAAAGAAAAAGTTGAGGATGAAGAATGGGTTTGGTGGGAAGAAAAAAGGAAAGAAGCTATTGAAGAGTTTTTAACTTTTGTAAGGGGTGAGTCTTTTTTGTTCATGTTCTTCCACTGCTCCAGTTATCGTTGAGACAATATCATCATCTGTTTGTCTGTAGTCGTAATATGGAGTGTTTTTCTTTTAATCTCTTCTCTGTTTCCTACTTCATCTCCTTTATTTCCTCCGTTTCTGTATTGGGTAATAGTCCATGTTGTTCAATGATACGGTGTCCAACTCAGTCAAACAGACAAATCTTTTATTTTTGTCGATTTGCCTCATGTGGAAAAGATAATATCAATAGTGTCGAATCACATCAGACAATGAGGAGGATAGCGAAGGGAGTAGAGATGGATTCCTTGTCCAGTTGACAGAGGGAAAGAGCCGAGTGAAGTAGATTGAATACGGGCTGATTGGCAGAACGAGCAGGTATTAGTCCGAAAAGTCAATTAGAACATTCTTTAGCACAAACTCGACTCATACTCCGTGCTCTCGCCAGAAGAGGAGTAGCAGAATCTACTTTTTTAGACGTTAAACGTTTGTTCCCCAATGCGGTGTAAGATCACGTTTATTGTATATCTGACACACACATGTCGATTATCATCATATCGTCATACTCAATGCGGCGAGTGTGGTCTGTGGATGGAGATAATAGATTTTTATGAATGTGATACGAAAGTGTACATATGCATGATGAATCTGACTTGACTTTATTCTTCTTCTTTACATGTTGCTTGTACCATCTTTGCTTCTTTACATGCTCCGTGTCTCATCTTTGTCTCGTTCGCTGAAATATTCCATGGCTAGCGTCTTTACTTCTTTACATGTTTCATAGCTAGCGTTTCTACGTGTCTTACGTACATACGTGGTCTGGTGAAGGTGACGAAGGAAAGGCGAGGAAAGGTGTAGGAAGTTGATTAATCCCTCTTGGCCCAAGAAGGAGGTTCATCTTGTCCTTTTTCTTCCGCTTCATCACCGATCTCTCTAGTCTTATGTACGGATTTAGGATCATGTTCTGCCGGTGCGTAAATGGTGAAAAGGCAAAGAGGTGTGGGGCCAGTGTTGATGACTGCAGATTGATCAGTTTTCACCATTTAATGTGAGTCACATCTTGGCAAACGAAGTTGATTGGTATTCCACATGAGACACGTTCATTTGGTACACGTATTTTTGGATATAAACCCGGAGGATACATGCCATCCTGAGGATCGTAAGGTGGTGGACGAGTGAAATAAAGTGATATAAACCATCTCTTCCATGGGAATGGGGGGACGTCCAGATGGTTGAAGCGGGGAGTACGGAACAGTTGCAGGGGAAAGGTGGAAAGGGGGAAAAGAGGAAAAGGAGAGAAGGGGAAAAGGAAAACATCAACTGACAATTATGTTTAGTACCTTGAGGAACAATGACCAAATCACCAGCCTGAACTTGTTTTTCTTCACCCGCGACGATAGCTTTGCAAGTTCCAGAAGTGAAAATGAGATGTTGATCAACGTGATGAACCTTGAATGTTAGATTATGACTCTCTATTTCTTTTGAAAGAAAATGCAGGAGAAGGGAATGAAGAAGAAACAATCAGGAGGGCGTACATGAGAAGAAGCAGTAGCAGGGGGGCAAATAAGAACCAGCAGTAAGAGGGGGTAAAGAAGAAGAAGCGGTAGGAGTGGGTAAAGAAGAAGAAGAAGCAGTAAGAGGGAGGAAAGGAAAAGAAGCAGTGGGAGGGGGTGAAGAAGAAGAAGAAGCAGTAGGAGGGGAGAGAGAAGAAGAAGCAGTAGTAGGGGGGGGGGGGGGGGGGGGAGAAAAAAAAAGGAAAATT